TCAGATAACGCTGCAATCGGGGGCGACGGAATCGGATTCGACCTGGTACTCGTGCTGTTCTCGGGGTTCTCGCCCTCGGGGGTATCCCTCTGGCTTCCGCTCGGAGTGAGGAGAGAGTGCACCAGCTCTTTCTTTTCTTGCGCGATCGACTCATCTGAGACGCACACCACTTCGGATGTCTTGGTCTCCGCTCTCTGTGGCCGCTGAAAGCCCTGCGCGCCGAAATCGCACAGGGGACGGCGCCACTGCTTCGTCTTAGGATTCTCCCGGGAACGACGAAGGGCCACGGTAACTCCCAGGGCCCCCAGAGTCAGTAATCCCTTAGACGTGTCCGAGGGACGTGCTCCGGCGCGATGGTGGCGGTTCGTTCGTTCGTTCGTTCGTTAGACGTGTCCATGATCCCCGACAGGTCCTCTAGTAAGCCCTCGGAGATCAGCAGCGGTGTCCAGCCCGGAACAATACAAAACTTGAGGACCCCGTTTCGCCCCACAAGACCAATCGGATATTCAGCCACCCAGTTTGACTGAGCCCCCTTGCCATTCGCGGAGTGGAAACTCCTACTAATACACGGAACGTATCTGATACAAAGTCCGAACAGCCTCTTGAGAGCATAATCATGAATAGCAATCGAAAAATCCACAACGATTAGCCTGGAACACCCCATGTCCACCATGCCCTCCAGGATCCCTAGGAGCTGAGCCGGCGAAAAGAGTCGTAGTCGTTTCTTGGCCTCGTCGAGACACTCCCTGAAACTAGGCGGGCCCATCTCGATCCCCGTGGGTGCAGGCGAGGAGGGCGTGGCGCTCGAGGCCTGCTCGGCCTGTGCGGCCCTCCGGCGCGCCTTCGCGCGCAGCCTGCGGTCACGGTTCTTGATCTTCAGGGCGTCGTCGTCGGTGCCAGATGGCGGTGGTGTCTCGTCGAACTCCACGTTCGTGGCCACGTTCTCGTTGGTGCTCGTCACGGCGTCCTCACCGCAGAGGTCGAAAACGCGTAAGTCCTCCAGCTCCTCGGAGTCATCGTTGTTGTACGCCGCCCTGGCGTGCTCGGGGCTGCCCTTCTGCTTCGGCGGGTTCTTGCACTCCCTCGTCCAGTGGCCGATCTGGTCGCACCGGTGGCAGCGTGTCCTCCGCTTCAGCTCCTCGATCTTCTTCTGGGCTTCCCGCTGGTACTCGACGCTGCCCTTGCCCCGTCCCACGGACTTCCCCTTCGGCGCGCCGACGTCCCGGTATCCTCTCGAGGTCTTGCGGTCCCGCACGATCCGCCTGGTCTCCTGCCAGCTTCCGCGCCCTCCGGGTCCTGCCTGCCAGGCCGCCAGCACCGCGTAGGCCTCGTCCTCGTCAATCACGTTCTCCCCTGCGATGTCGTCGCCCAGCTCGGAGCCCTCCAGCGCGATCAGAGCCTGCGCGATCGGGTTGTCGTTCTCTTCGTAGTCGTCCTCCTCGTCGACTTGATACGCCTTCGCCGTCCTGGCCTGTCCCGAGCTGTCGCCTTGGTAGCCACGAGTCGTCTTCTCCAGCGAGCTGTCGTCCCGGAGGCCCTTCAGCGCCGTCCGCACGTCCTCATAGGCCAGCGAGCCCGACGTCTGTAGGATCACCGCCATCCGCTCCGTATGGTCGAGCTTCGCTTGACGTGCCAGGAAACAGCCCTGCACATCGTCCAGCGTCACTTGGAGCTTCTTCAGACGGTCGAAAGCCTTCTTGATCTTCATCGAGTGCTGCTGGAGCGTTTCTCCCTTCTTGTGTTCGGTCCCGAAGAACGTGTGCTCGAACATAATCTCCTGCTCGAGCGCCCTCACGATGTTCTCGACACCGTCGTCATCCTCGAGCTCTGTCAAGTACAGCCCCTCCATGATGCTCTGAATCTGATCATCGCCTCCTTCCATGATGCTGTAGTACGCGTGGAGCCCGCGCTGCTGCGCTGGAATCCCCGTCGCCACCTTGGACCAGATCCGAAGCTTCCTCACGTAGCGCCGCAGCCCCTCTATCCTCGAGTCCTTGATGACGGGGGGTGGAACGTGCCGACCGGCACTCGCACCTGGACCGCCATGGTGCCCGACAGAAGCCACATACTCTCGGTCCTCCTCAAACTCCTCTTCATCTCCCATGGATCCGCCTGCTCGGTCACACGGGTATCGTCGTCACGATCTCCGCCGCTCCAGCACGATTGCCTCGTCGTCCTGAGACCGATGTCCGTGAACTCGCTCCACTCCTGAAGCGCGCTGGCACTCCGCGTGGAGCTTCTGCCAGCTCCGCTACCACCGAATCCAGTGCAGCGGCGGTAGAAGCGCAAGCCCGTGGGATGCCTGATCTTTCCGTCTCGACTCGATCACGTGTGAATCCCTCCAAGGGGCCGAGGCCCCTGTCCGAACCAAACGGCCGCGGGAGAGGCTGAGGTGTCTGGCATCCTGGGCTGCCTAGGGGAATCTCCAGGACGCCTCTAAAGCAACTCGCACAGTGTAATTGATGACGGCCGGTGTAAACTTGCCTTCCCGATGGCCACAATCGAAGCAGTGGCCGCATTCGAAACGCATCCGATGCGACACTGAACCTGAGACCGCGCCGACGGGCCGTGCAGTGGCCCCGAAGCTGCCACTGCCTGCCTTTCTCATACGCGCTGTTTCAAACTGGTAGCTGATGGTTGTCGATGCACGCTTCGGAGCCTCGCACCACCTACTGTACATGCCACCGTCCGCCTTCCACAGACGTGCAGAGCCAAGCATTGTAGCTGACTAGGGCTGGCCCGTGGACTATCGTCCACGAATGCCAGAGGATTGAGCGTGCGCTCGTTGCTGCTTACTGCTTCGGGGTGCGCTGTTTGCTTGATGATCCTGACGGCGTCTGGAGCAGCGCTAGCAGCAGGAGCAGCAGCAGCAGCAGCAGCAGCAGCAGCAGCAGCAGCAGCAGCAGCAGCAGATCCAGCACCATCGGCAGTAGCAGCAACAGCTGCAGCAGCAGCTCCAGCCTGCTACTTGTCGTGCGAGCAGTGCCGCGTGCTGTAGCAGGCTTTTCCCAGCGGGGGCATCGGGGAAGCGGCGGGGGGGCCCTCGGATACCCAGGAGGGGGTCCTTGTGGGGCTCTGTGGGAGCCTCTGGAGAGCCTCTTGAGAGCTCTTGGGGGCGCCTCTGAGCGCCCGGGGGCCTCTTGGGAGCGCCTCCGGGGCCTTCTGGGGGCCTCTCGGGGGCGTCTTGGAGCCTTGCTGGCCGTGGAGGGGCCCGGAGGGGGGGAAGCGCTCCGAACTGGACCCGCTTGGGCGTCCCTTGGGGCCGTCTGGGGGGCTTCTTGGGCCGTCGTGGGGGCCCCGGGGAGCTCGATCGGGGGCCTCTGGGGCCGTCTTGGGGATTCTCTTGGAGGCCCCCCCGGCAGCATGGCTCCGATTTCGGACGCCCGCGGTGCAGTGGTGGGCGTCTTGGGGCGGGCGGGAGGAGCACCACCGGAAACGTCAAAAACCATCGAGAATATCGATAGTTTTGCGGCCTCGGGGCCCTCGTGGGGGTCCACTGGGAGCTCCATGGAAGCTCGTGGGGGCCCTCCGAGCCCGTCCTGGGGCCCTCTCGGGCTCGCTGGGGGGCTCCCGGGAGACTCGAGGCCTCCGCGTCGGGACCCTCATGGGCCGTCCCGGGGCTGTCCCGGGCCGAGACGGCGTCACCCACCCCACGGGCGGGGCCCCCGGGGCGCCGCCGCGGGTGACCATCGCTTGCCCTTCTCGCACGCGCCATGCCCGGTATTGTAGTATAGATTGAAGTGGGTGTGAAATGAATTGCATTGGTGCGTTGGCCCCTTGCGGCGCTGTACTAGAGAACGCGCCGACGGGCCGTGCAACGGCCAATCACCTGCCACTGCCTGCCGTTCTCGCACGTGCTGATTATAACTGGTAGTTGATGGCTCTCGGTGTCAGCTGCTCGTCCGACCGAGCAGGCACCTGCCGAGAGAGCTGCCACTGTCCACCTGTCGCGCACGCGCATATCCAAGCAATATAGTTGATGACCGAAGTGAGACGCCCTGCTTTGATGCACTGGCCCATTGCGCCACTGCACCTGACAACGTGCCGACGGACCTTGCAACGGCCACGAAGTTGCCACAATCTGCCTTTCTCACACGTGCTGGCCAGAACAAGTAGCTGATGGTTGCCGAGGCGGGCCCCGCGCTCAACCAAGCCTCGCGCACCGACAGACGGAAGTGCCACTGTCCTTACACACACGTTCAAAAAGAACAGTTGTAGTTTATGGCAGCAAGTGCAACTGCCCGCGGCAGGCCGAGGACATATTCGCCCAGATTTTGCCAACGCTCACACGGTTTAACGTCCCAGTGAAGGCTAGAAACGACAATAACCGCTGAACGTGCCCCTCAAGCGACACGTGGAGACACTGGGCGGGACGCTGGAGCAAGCCACTGAGAGCCAAACCATGGTACTAGATACTGCGCTCCGCGCCCCTGTGCTTGAGGAAGGAGAAGGAGGAGGAGGAGGAGGAAGAGGAGGAGGAGGAGGAGAGGAAGAAAGAGGAGGAGGAGAAAGAGGAGGAGGAAAGAGGAGGAGGAGAGAGGAGGAGAGAGGAGGAGGAGGAGGAGGAGGAGGAGGAGGATTTGGGCTGCAGGACGAGCAGGAACAGAGAGGAACCGCGAAGGAGTGTTCCTGCCATGGCCAGGAGAGCTTGACGCTCCGTGAATTATGCCCACCAGTTCATGCAGAAGGAAGAGGAGAGAAGGAGGAGTAGATGAGGAGGAGGAGGAGGAGGAGGAGGAGGAGGAGGAGGAGGAGGAGGAGGAGGAGGGGAGGAGAGGAGGGGGAGGACGAGGAGGGCAGGAGGCAGGAGCAGGGAGCAGGAGGAATGGAGGAGGAATGGAGGAGGAATGGAGGAGGAAGAGGAGGAGGAGGAGGAGGAGGACCAGGAGGAGGAGGAGGAGGAGGAGGAGGAGGAGGAGGAGGAGGAGGAGGAGGAGGAGGAGGTCGAGGAGGCGGGGGGGAGGAGGAGGTGCAGGCGCACCCCTCCGTCTCCGCGGCAGGGGCGCTAGCATGCTGATCAAGGCCATTGCGGCCCAGGTGTCGGGCGAGGGCACCCAGCGGCAGATCGAGGCCTTCATGGAGCTGGTCGACCGGCAGTGGACCGGGAAGGGCCCGGGACTCGGCGCCCCGCGCGAGGGAGAAGGCACCATAATCCCGCCTCCCAGCTCTCTGGCGATGCGTTTTTTGATGTTTTGTCACTCCCGGCGGCGATTCTCGGCTTCGGCCCGCTATGCCTGGGCCCCAGGGCACGCAGAAATGAGATCCACTACGAGAATTGCCCCTGGGGAAGGGTTAGGGAGTTCCTGGGCGATGAATCGAATACCCTCGCAGTCTGTCCAGCTCATGGGGTCCCACGCGCCTGCTATACAACGCGGGTCGGAGGCGGGCTCCGTTGCGATTCCGCGAAGGCATGACAGGAGGAGGACGAGGAGGAGAAGGAGGAGGAGGAGGACGGTGCCCTGGGCGTAGGAGGAGGAATCGACGAGGAATCGATGAGGAATCGAGGAGGAATCGAGGAGGAGGAGGAGGAGGAGGAGGAGGAGGAGGAGGAGGAGGAGGAGGAGGATCGAGGAGGAGGAGGAGGATCGAGGAGGAGGAGAAGGAGGAGGAGGAGGAGGAGGTTTTTTGGAGGTTCTGTGGCCCCACAATGAAAACAACAGGATTTCAGAAAACCCTCAGGGAAACCTCCCAACTCGGGGGTTGTTCGGGTTTTGTTTTTCATGATTTTGTTTTGTTTGTTTCGGGGGCTCTGGGGGCTCCCGCAAACGCGCCCCATGATTCCCAAGCAATTCCCCCGATGGCCCGAAGACATTCCAACGAAGGCCCAAGACAGCCCACGAAGCTTCTAAGGCGATCCTGAAGTCATGCAAGGCCGTTCAGCCGAACGCGTGTTATTGCTGCAGGCTCCGCCGATACTTCATCTCGTGTTACTGCAACAGGCCCTGACGATTTTTGCGCGAGAGAAGTGCGCTATCGTTGTTCCTTTGTTTTCCGATGCTCTTATATCTATATATATATACACACGTAACGCCCCGAAGTTGTCGATAGGAGTAAGGGGGCGGCGGGGACGTTGGCAGTCTGCGAGGCTCTGAAGAAACCCGCCGCAGGCGCCGATGTTTCGTATGGTGGAGTGGGGCCGATGTTTCGTAGGGGGAGGGGGGAACGACCTCCCCCCCTTGCCGTCGGCGAATCAATAGAGGGCACAGGCCAAGCATTCAGCTCCTGAGTTCGCCAAGGAATAGGACGCGCGCAAGTGGGGGCAGGAGGAGGACCGAGAGTCGTTCACACGGCAGAAGCGCCTGCCTCACAGGTCCGTCCGCGAGGGGCTTGGCGTGTCCTGCCCTCCCCCTCTTCCTCGCCGCCCCCCCTGCCCTTCCCCCTCCGTCCCCGTACCCTCCTCCTCCTCCCCCTCCCCGTGCCCTCCTCCTCCTCCTCCCCTCCTCCTCCTCCTCCTCCTCCTCATCCTCACCCCCTCCTCCTCTCCTCCTCCATCTCCTCCGCCTCCCTCCTCCTCCCCTCCTCCTCCTCCTCCTCCATTCATCCTCCCATCCCCTTCCTCCTCATCCTCCATTCCTCCTCCTCCTCTCCTCCTCCTCCTCCTCCCTCCTCCCTCCTTCCTCCTCCTCTTCCTCCTCCTCCTTCTTCCTCCTCCTCCTCCTCCTCTCTCTCCTCCCCTCCTCCTCTCCTCCTCCTCATCCTCTCCTCCTCATACTGCCCTCAAGCAATTTGGGCTCGAGCGGGTGAGGGGCCCCAGGAGGCCCACTTGCCCTCTTGAGTTCGTCCCTGGGCTTCCCAGCAGCGCTTGAGGGACTGTGTCTTTTCTGCGTGCCAGCCAAGAAGAGGCACCGACCAGCACAGGGACAGACGCAATGGCGGGCGTCCACCAGCTGTGGACCAGATGCATGCAATGTCAGACGTGCGAGTGGAACGGAGTATTGGCCCGCCGCCACAACATCTGCAGCGGTTGCGGCAACGAGGTCAAGCCATTCGAGAGGAAGAGGAAACCGAGGCGAGTTCAGTTCGTGGACGAGTACGGCGACAGCGACGCCGACGGCTTCTACGACGCCACCAGCGGCAGCGAGAGCGAGCGCCCGCAACCACGGCGCCCAGGCATCTTGAAGGGCCCTGTGGGGAGCGGGCTCGGAGGCGGCACGGGCGGCAAGGGGGGCAAGTCAGTGAAGAGCTTCCTGGAGCAGGCCCTGGCAGCCGCCACCGACTCCACGCTCAAGGTGGACCTCCAGGCGCAGCTGGACAAGCTCGCCAAGGAGGAGAGCGGGCGGGAGGCCGCCAGGATCACGCCCGCGGAGGCCCTGCGCAGGGCCGATGGGGCGTGGAGGAACGCGGAGCACCTCCACAGCCAGGCGGTTAGCAATGTCATTCGCCTCCGCAGCAATCTGGCAGCTGCGGAGGCGAAAGAGAGGGCGGCAGCCATCCACTTGGCCGAGACCACCGAGGCCAAGCGAGCAGCAGCCACGGCCTTGGCTAAGGCCGAAGGGGTCACCGAGGCCAAGCCTAGCCCCGACGGCGAGAAGAAGATCATCACGCTGGAGTGGGACGACAGCTTCTTCACGAACCTGGCGGCGCTGGACGCCACGGACGCGGAGAAGCAGGCCCTAGAGGAGCTCCGAGGCCAGTTGCAGGGCGCCAAGGAGACCCTCACGGGCAAGGAGGCCGAGATCCAGAAGTGGTTGGAGGCCACGCAGCAGCATCGGCACACCATCGAGGAGCGGGCGAAGAAGAAGAGACGCGCGCCTACTGACGGCGCACCTGAGGAGGCGGCCACAGCGGCGGCTGGCGGCGGGGGCCAGGGGGCCCCTCCTGCGGCGGCGGCATCGGCGGCGGGGACCACCTCAGGCGGCGGCGGCGGCGCGGCGGCGGCAGCTGACCCCTCAGACGCCGTTAAGGCGGAGGCGGAGAGGCTGTCCGCGGCCAAGTTCCTGGCGCAGCAGGCGGCGACGGAGGCGAAGGGCAAGGGCACCGCCAGTGGTGAGGCCGCTGGGGCGCCTGCAGATCCCTCAGCTTGACGGTGTCGGACGGGGACCCCTCGGACCCACAAGACCGAGGGGGCAGGCAGTGACGAAGGGGAATGCACTAGGCTATTCTATTCGAACGTCACCTGCCTAACGGACAAGGTGTGGAAGTACGTGCAGGAGCACGTGGGAGCCTACGACCACTGGATCATGACTGAGACTCACATTCACCGCGAGTCGGACGTCAAGAAGTGGACCAAGGCAAGCCGGGCTCTCAACCTTCGCATGATCATGAATTCGGCTCGCCGCACCTCGAAGGTAGTGTCTAAGGCCAAGGAGGCGCACTCGAACGAGGGAGGTGAGATGTTTTTCTCCCGCAAGCACTTGCAGAGCCAACAGCTGCCCGAGGCGAGGGCTGCTGCCAAGTACCTCAAGGCGCCGAAGCAGTCGGCGTACGACGGATTCTGCCCAGTGATACTGCAGCAGCACAGCTACGCGATCGTGGTGGTCGCCCTGTACGCGCTGCCGTCCATCAAGATGACGGGCAGGAACATCGAGAGATTCAACCGACTCGGTGGACTACTCCGTTCACTCCGAGTCCCGTGGCTGGTCATCGGCGACTTCAACATGACGCCAGACGAGCTCAAGCGCACGGCCTTCCACAGAGTGACGGGGGGCCATGTGCGCGTCCCAGCTGGAGTTGAGGGCACATGTGCCCAGAAAAAAGGACCAGACACAATGATCGACTTTGTTTATATGAGCGCTGCCGCGTCCTCATTCATCCAGAGTCTAGAAGTAGTCAGAAGCGTCCCGTGGAAGCCTCATCTCGGTCTAGCCTTGAGCCTACGAGCTTCGGGCCAGACCCTTAGGACGCGTGAGATTTCCCTGCCCCCGAAGTTGCCCCAACTCCCGAGGCCTCGGTGTGAGCCCACTCCTGGATCCAAGTCCAGCCAGGCCAGGTCCGTTGCGGCTGTTAAGCGCCAGGAGGCTCACGCCAAGAGGGTCGCGGGTTTTCAGGAGGCCTTCGGGGATGTTTTGGAGCCCCCCGTGCAACTTGGGACATCGCGTTCCCAGGTGGCTGAGGAGGCCGATCAGGACCCTGATCTGGACCACGATTTTTTGGCCTTCCCTGAGGAGGAGGAGGGCCCCTGGGCCCACGAGTTTAATTTTTGTACTGACTCACGCCTTGGTAGCGAGCTGTCGTCTGATGGATCGGGTGCGGTCGGCGCATCGGCCGTCGGAGACAAAAAGCTCGATGCAGTCAATGTGAGTGTCAATTCGTCGGTATGCGAGGCCCAACCCCTTCCCCCCTCGGCGGTTTCAAGTAACCCCTTAGTTAGCAGCAACGTAGGTAGTAGCAGTGTTCAGTTGCATCGCCCCGACCCCTCCCAGCAGGATGCCCCCTCGTGCCCCGTGGTCGAAGATGTGCCCGACCCTCCGTTTGAAATTCCTGCGTCCACGTGGGCCGAGGCTCGACAGCAGGTGGGCTTTCGGTCGGGAGCGGATGCCGTGGCGAGTCTCTCCCCTTTCCTTTCCTCCTCCGTAGCCTTTTCGCTTGAACCTGCTCGCGGAAAGCTCCTCACGGGGCAGTGCGCGACTTGGGTGACGGCGGTCGAGCAGGCTTTCCATACACACCATCATGTCAGGCCCCCTGCTGGGCCCACGCGCGCCGTGGGGCCCAGGATCCATGAGAAGCCCATGAGGGTCACTGCCCATGTTCGGGAACTCGCCCTTCATGATCAACGTAGCCAGTGGTGGACGCGCGTCCACACGGTGCTCGCTGGAGTCCTCAGGCACCAGTGCAGGGACAACGGCCAGCGCCAGCAGCAGGAGTACGGCAAGGCTAGTACCCTCCTACGGCAGTCCAGGCCTGAAGGGGTGCACAACCTATTGAATGCGGGTCGCGAGGCCCCGTGGGACCAGTGGCTGGCAGTTCTCGGTGACCCGAGTCGGTTGTCGACCCCAGTGCTGGAGAACTATGTCATTGCAGCGAAGCGTGTGGCCAGCAGGGCTCAGCGCGCGGCAGTTCACGAGTCGATCTCCAACTTTAAGACCTTTGTGATGCAGCCAGAGGCCGTGGGCATCCTCCACAAGTCGCTGAAGGCGAACCCACTACCGCCGAGTGAGCTGGAGGTGGGGGATCGCACCCTCGTTCATCCAGCCGACATCATGGAGCATAAAGCGGCGACCTTCAAGCGGATGTGGGCTCCACGGCCCCCTGACGTCAGCGAGATAACGGAAGTGTTTCGACTCATTCGAGAAGCGGCCCAGGGTGATGATCTTCCTGAGCTTACCCCAGACCTGGTCTACGCCAGCGCCAAGGCCATGAAGGCTAAGGCAGGGCTGGGGGTGGATGTTCTGAGCCCAGTCGACTTTCAACGCCTCCCTCGTGAGGCCATGGAGGAATTTACAGACATTTTGAAGAATGCAGAAGCCTTGCTCGCTTGGCCAGCTCAGACACAGCTCATCGTGACCTTCTTGACTCCCAAGAAATCCCAGGGCGACAGAGGCATAGGTATGATACCTATGATAGGCCGCCTTTGGTCCCACGTTCGGGAACCTATAGTAAAGCAATGGAGCAAAGATGAAGAACAGGCATGGGATGCCGCAGTTGCTGGGAACAGTTGTTTACGCGAAGCATATCTTCATGCCATTGATGAAGAGGTAGCGCACTGGATGCGAATGGAATTTGGTCAAGGACTGCTTGACATTCAGGAATTTTATGATTCAATACCTTGGCTGCCCCTGGCGAGGGCGGCCTTGAGGCTCCATTTCCCGCCAGTCATTTTATATTTGGAGCTCCTCCAGTGCATCACGATGCGGACGTTATCCCAGGAGGGAGCAGTGTGCACCCCCTTCGAGCCCTGCCAGTCAGTCATCCAGGGGCTGCGAGGGGGAACCAGATTCGCCAAGATCCTCACCCACTTCGTGATGCAGGTGGTGGTTACGGCGACACCCAGGATGAACCACCGCGTTTGGATAGACGATATCTGCCAGAAGATCACGGGCTCACGCCAGGCAGTAAGGGCTAACCTCATACGCGGAGTTGTGAAGGCGGGCCAAGAGCTTGCCAAGGCAGGCCTCAAGTTGGCCAAGAAGTCAGTCGTCATGTGCACGAACGCCGCTGACGCTCGTGCTGTAGCCCGGGCTGCCAAGCTCAAGGGTTTCCCAGTCAGGGCTCTGGCGCAAGCGCCGTACCTGGGGGTGGACTTCAGCTGCGGCAAGCAGGGCCGTGCTACCAGGACGCAGAGACAGATCAAACACGGAGCGATGAACGAGAAGGTGAAGAGATTCAGCCGAGCTACTCGGCGGTACGGGATCACGACGCGGCTGGAGCGCAACGGCTGCCAACCTGCGGGCTCCTACGGCTTCGAGGTGCACGGGATGTTCGGCCACCAGCTGACCACCCACCGCCGTCGACTCGGTCAGATCTGCGCAGCTGCTACTAGAGGCCGCTGCCTCACTACCCTTCTGGACCTGAGAGCGCCAGGAGGGGACCCTGCAGTGGCGATGCCAGCCAGGACCGTGGACATGTGGCTTAGCGTCTGGCAGCAACAGCCAGGTCTGCGCCAGCGAGTACGACAAGTCTGGCATCATGTCCGAGACCATCTGTCACAGCTGGACCCTCAACATCAGGTGCGTGCAGTTCGTGGCCCTGTGTCTGCAGTAATCCTCACCCTCCTCCGCATCAATTGGAACCCTGAGGATGTGGACACGCGGTCGTACACCACGCCCACGGGGTCGGAGGAATGGCAATTTCCAGACGCCATATATACGGGCAATAAGTTTCTGGACACACACCGCGAATTGTTGAAGGATGTACGTCAGTCGGCAGCCCAGGTGGTGTGGACCACGGCTGCCAAACACTACTGCGGAGGTGGAGTCGAGCATGGAGTTGACAATCGGTCATTTCGGCTGTTGCTCAAACAAGTTGGGCAACTCCCTCACGGTGTGCGCCTCACCGAGTTGCTGATCAATATTGCTACAGGTGGATATTGGACGCGACAGAGGCGCTATGATGAATTGAAGGGTTATAAGTGCAGCAACATGTGTGACCGCTGCCGAGAGGCACCAGAAACGGCCAAGCACAGATTCTGGCAGTGCAGCAAGAACGTGTCGGCCACGCCCTATACTCGCTCAGAGTCTTTGGTTTCAGCCGCGCTGGCCCAGACGGACGCCACCGAGTGTTTCTGGCTACGCGGGTTGCTACCGAGCCAGTGGACCCAGACCCCGCCCCCACCGAAGGACACGGTCCTGGAGTTCACGGGCATCAACGAGCTCTCCGAAGGGATCTTCGGGGCGGGGAGCGCTGAGTCACCAGTCGAGATATTCGGTGACGCCAGTGGAGGACCAGATGCGAGCATCAGTGATTTCGTGCGGATTGGAGTTGCCATAGTATGTGTGGCCAGCCTGCTGCCCGAGATCAACCTACATGGTGCAGTTTTCGGCCAGCTTGGTGGCCCGCGCCAAGTGGTGGCGAGAGGGGAGCTCTACTCCCTGTACCTCGCGCTCTGGTGCACGACCAGGTACCTCACCTACGTGACGGACTGCGAGTACGTTGCGGCGGGCTGGTACTCCCAAGCCTACCTGAACCCAGCAGGCGAGGACGCCGACCTATGGAAGCTCATCGGGGACCTGATGAGCTCACGCCGCCACGCCGAGGTGACGGTACTCTGGACGCCGTCCCACAGCACGGCTCAGGACGTTGCCGCCCAGACGGTGAACAGGTACCTTGTCATCGGCAACCTGCTCGCCGACGAGTTCGCGGGCTGTGCAGCGGCCAGAGCCAGGCTGCCCGCCGAGGTCCGCCAACCCATCCTGCTGGCTGAGCGGAGGGCGTACCTCGTCCGCTCGAGGCTCCTCCGAGCCACGCTTGATAGCATGGCAGCCAGCCAGGAGGCTGAGAGAAAGGAAAAGGATGCCACCCGAGGCCCTGGGGGCCCTTCTGAGGTCCCGCCTCCTCCCGCTCCTCCTCCTCCTCCGCCTCCCTCAGCTGCTGCTGTTGCTGCCCTCATGTCCAGGCACCGTCTGGCCGACTGCGGCCGACGTTGCCTCTCCTGTTTCGGTTCTGCAACCCTCGCTACCGCTCAGGAATTCGTCGAATCTGAATGTCCTAGGCTGTACAATGTCGATGGGGTTGTGTTTTCGCCTTTAAAGGGGTCGCGAGTTCATATCGCGGGGGGTTGGGCCCACACTACGCATACCCTGAATGTTCACCCGACCCTTCAGATTTGGTTTTGCACAGAGTGTGGGGGTATCGCGGATAAGGCTCTGCGATCTCTTAAGGGCCCCTGTAGTAAGAGGAAGTCCGCCACGGGGCAAGAGTACCTTGACAGAATTGCACGGGGGTTACATCCCAAAGTTCTGAGCCGAGCTGAGCAAGCTACTCGGCGTTCGAATGCTCGTCTGTCCAGGCCTTCCTAAGATTCGAACCTGCTGCGCAGCGGAGTCCACTCCACTCCACTCCACTCCTCATACTCGCCCTCCTCGCCCTCCCTGCCAATGCCCCTCCCCGGAGCTCCTCCCCCTGCCTCCTCCCTGCCCCCTCCCTGCCCCTGCCTTCCTCCTCCTCACCTCACCCTCCCCGCCCTGCTCCTCCCGCCCTCCTGCCCCGCCGGCCTCGCGCGACGGCGCGACAAGGCCAGACCCTGCTCCACGAGCTGTGCGCTAACCTGCGGCAGCCGAGCGAGCAGGAGGGCGCCGCGGCGGGAGCCGAGCCGCTCGGGCTCCGCGTGCTCGCGGACGTCTGCGAGCAGGCTCCCTGCCCAGGGGCCGTATCGGACGGGGCTAGGACGAGGGTAAATGCGTTCCAGAGCGTTCTGGAACGCGCTGAGAAGACCGCGGCGCCGAGACATCCTCTCGAACCGCCGGATCTCAGAGATTCTCGATTCATCCTCACCCGGCTTTGTCCTCGTCCTGGCCTCGTCCTCCCGTAGGCGCGCTCGCGGCGATGCAGGGAACGGCGATTCAGGGTTCGGTGTTGCAGGTGAGGCTGGCTCGTAGCCGGACCAGCAGAGGCTCAGAGGCGTCGCGCTCTCTTGCAGTTCGTCGTGCCGTGTTCGCCCAGTGCACGCACGCGCGCCTGGGGTGTCAGACAGTGTGGTTCTTGACCTCCTGCAGCTTCTTTTGCGCGAACGTCCGCCGTCGCAGAAGCCAGATTCACAGCATCTCGAAGGAGGAGAAGGTAATTTCCCATACCATTACACCTCCCTCGTTTTCCCCTTTTTGGGGGGCCTCCTGGGAGGCCCTCGCCGCCACCGCTGGATTCGCTTCGAAGATCTTGTCAAAGCGCACCCTGGGAGAGGTCAGGGGAGTAGCGGTATCGGTACCTTCTGCTTTCCCTTTTGCTTTCCCCAACATCACCGTCAACCGACATCGCCATCAGCCTGGCCTTGGAGGGGGCGGCGGCTCACAGCAGCATCGCCTAGTCCCACTTGGCATTCGAGATAGGGCCTCGCCTTCGAGGGCCGCGAGGGGGCCGAGATCTCTTCCTCGGGGGGAGGGCGGCGGAAGCTGGCGGAGGGCGGCGGAAGCAAAACGAGGCCGCCTCCACCAGCGGAAGCCGGCGAAAAAGTACACATCGGGAAAGCGCGCCACTAGATCACCCTGTAGTTGAAAAGGGGGGGGGGTCAGAACCCCCCCCCCCATTTAAAGGGGGGGGTGACATTTTCGACCCCCCTCCCCCTCCCCCCCTTAGGGGGGGGGGGGTCTGGACCCCTCCCCCCCCCTCCCCCCCTTGTCGCTGGAAAGGGACGGGGGGGGATTCGACCCCCCCCCGTCCCCCCCTTTGCGCCGATCAGGTGGCCGTGGAGAGGGCCTCTCCCGAAAGGGGGGGGGGTCTTGCTTCGGGATAGTGAGTAGCGAGTAGAGAGTAGTGAATAGTGAATACTGAATAGTGAGTTGATAGTAGCGAGTAGTGAAGAGTGAGGAGTGAGTGAGTAGTGCGCAGTAGGTAGTGAGTAGTGGGTAGTGAGTAGTGAATCGTGGGTAGTGGGGAGTGGGTAGTGAGTAGCGAGGGGCGGGTAGGGAGGAGCGAGTAGTGACTAGTGAGTCGCGAATAGGGCATTGTGAGTAGTGACTAGTGAGGCGGGAGTATTCAGTAGTGAGTAGCGAGTAGGGAGTAGCAAGTAGTGGGTATTGGAGGGTGAAAGAGGGGGTCTAAAACAGGGGGTCTTCAATGGGGGCTGAATGGCCCATGTATGCTCAATGCATCGCTCATGAATGTGATCGGGTATGATTGGCATTCAATGTTGGCGGTCGTGGAGGGCCAGTCGCTCGTGCCCGCGCGTTGCCAGCGCGGGCAAACGCGCCGTCCATCCATTATCGTTCATGCGTGCGGGCGTTCTTGCATTTCGCGCTTGGGGCGGCGAAGTGGAGCGCAAGTGTGTCTTGATTGTGCGATTGATGATCGCGTGCGTTCCTAAACGATGACTTGTTGACCTCGAAGACAGACTTGGAATGGTGGCCCGCGGTTATCCCAAAGTGTGAATTCACATTTTCCTTTTTTTTCCCCCAAAATATGAATTCACATGTTCCTTTTTTTTCCAAAGTATGAATTCACATTCTGGCCCCTTCATAAAGACTCTTATGCAACATTCCATAGTGTGAATTCACATTTTTCTTTTTCCTAAATGTGAATTCATTTTTTTTATTCAAAATGTGAATTCACATTTTGTTTTTTCCCGACAGTGTGAATTCACATTTTGCCCTGGCCCTCCCGATCCCCATAACTGAGGCGCAGTGTTCCGCATGTCAGATTGGCTGGGCAGATCTTGACACGCACCTCACCGCTTTCGATTATTCTAACCTTTTCTTGTTGCGCCCTGAGCGCACATTGCCTTCGTCGCCTTTCCCGAGCCCCCCGCCTCCTTGCTTCGTTCACCTGCAGTTCTCGCGCATGGGCGCAGGCGGGAAGCTTCAATGGGTCCCCCCCTTCCGATCTCATCAATCGAGGATGTATCGCCCATGCATGGTCCATGGAGACACCGTTGCCGGGACCTTGCGCCCGACCCCCACTTTCACCCTTTCAAGGGTAGTAAGTAGTGAGTAGTGAGAAGTGAGACGTGGGTATTGGGCAGTGTGTAGTGGGTAGTGCGTACGGGGTAGCGAGTAGTGAGTAGTGAGTAATGGGTCGTTGGTAGAGAGAAAGAAGTGGTTACTGAATTGTCAGTAGTGAGTAGCGACATGTGATTAGTGACTAGTCAGTAGGGGGTATGAGTAGGGGGTAGTGAATAGTGAGTCGTGCGCCGTGGGTAGTGAATATTACTTATTGGGTAGCGAGTAGGAAGTAGGGAGTAGGGAGTTGTGAGTAGTGAGTAGCGAGTAGTGAGCAGCGAGTACTGTGTAGGGAGTAGCGAGTAGCGAGCAACGGATAGTGAGTAGTGAGTTGTGGGCAGTGAGTAGTGAATAGTGAACTGTGAGTACTCAGTAGTAGTGAGTAGTGGAAAGTGGTCAGGTGGGAAGTGAATAGCTCTTAATGAGTAGGGCGTAGTGGGCAGCGAATCGTGTTTAGTGACTAGTGAGTTTTGAGTCTTGGGTAGTGAGTAATGATGGGGGAGTAGTGAGTAGGGAGTAGTGAGTAGTTAGTGGGAGCGTAGTGAGTAGTGAGTCGTGGGTAGTGAATGGTGCGTGTTGTGTAGCGAGTAGGGTGTGTGGAGTAGCGAGTAGTGAGTAGTGAGTAGTGAGTATTGTGTAGGGAGTAGGGAGTGGCGAGCAGCGAATAGTGATTAGTGTGTAGTGAGTTGCGGGCAGTGAGTAGTGAGTAGTGAGTAGTGCATAGTTGTTAGTGGGCAGTGAGTAGTGATTTGTGATTCGTGAGTAGTTGGTAGTGAGTTGTGTTAGGTGAGTAGTGAGTATTGAGTAGTGGATACTGTGTAGTTAGTAACTAGTTGTGAGCAGCGACTAGCGCGTAGGGAGTAGGGAGTAGTGAGTAGTGGGTAGTGGGTAGTGACTAGTTGGTAGTGACTAGTGAGTAGTGAGTAGTGAATAGTGTGAAGTGAGTAGTGAGTAGCGACTAGTGGGTGTTGGGTAGTGAGGAGTGCGTAACGAGTAGTGAATACTGTTTGGGGCTAGGGTTGAATTTTGGGGTTAGGGTTAGGGGTTAGGGTAAGGGTGAGGATTCCTGTTGGGGTTGGCAGGGGTAGGGTTCCGGAGCCCTGGGGTGCCGTGGCGAAAGGGGGAGAGGGGGGGGGGCTTCGAATTTGATTGCCAAAGGGGGGGGGCCGGGGGGGTGGTCGCCCCCACCCCTTCCTTTTAAAGGGGGGGAGGGGTGGGGTGGGGTCTCCGACGACGGATCGGGAAAGGGAGGGAGGGGGGGGGGTCCCCGACGACGGATCGGGAAAGGGGGGGGGGTCCCCGACGACGGATCAAGGAAAGGGGGGGGGAAGGGGTTCCCCCCCCCCCCTTGGGGAGATCCAGCGGCGCACCCTCACAAATCGGCCTCCCAAGAGGTTTATGCCAGCAGTGCGGGTTGCATCCGAAATGCGGGCTTGCACGGTGACCGATTGGAGCCGCAATGTTGGTTCCGAGTGTGACCGTTTTGAGCTGCAGTGCGGATTTCAAGTGTTACCAGATCCGCTTTGCTCGCAGGATTGCTTTACAGGCCCCCCAAGAGAAGGCACGTTTTTTCGCGTCAGGGTTTTTTAAAACGTTCCGGCCCCTCCCTCATGCTGATGCCTTCGGACCCCCCTCCCCCCCGCGCGATGGATTCCACCCCCCCTGTGGTCGTGGCCCTGTCGGCGTGGCGTGGTGGGGGAGGCCAGCGCTACCTCCCCCCCCTTGTGGGTGTGGGGTGGTGCTGCGGTGCCGACTTCGTCGTCGTCGTCGCCGTCGTCGCCGTCGCTGTCGTCGCCGTCGTCGTCGCCGTCGTCGTCGTCGCCCCATCATGGAGGGGGGGAGGGCGAGGATCCCTGGGACCCATCCCGCCCAGGGGTGGTGGTGGGGGCTGTGAACCCTCGACCAGTGGTAGACCTAAACGGTGTTTTGGCGATTTCGTGGGCCGTTTTCGTTTCGACTGCGTTTTTGCGGTAAAGGCGGATGGGAAACAGAACGAGGGAAAACGAAAACAAAAGGACATCGAAAGGCACTGTTTAGGTCCAGCCCTGCCCTCGACCCGGAAATATGCATCAGCCCCACCAGCCCACGCCCCCAGGCGGGCACGTGGCCCGCGGAGCCCGAAGGAAGCAGCGTGTGCGCCCCCGCGCCGAGAGGGGGAACGCTGGTCAGCGGGGCCGAGGCCACGCCAGTGCGAGTGGGTATCGGTCCAACGAGGCCCTCACACGGTGGAGGCCCACGCCAAGAAACACCCCGCTTGCCTCCTCCACTTCCTCCTCCTCTTCCTCCTCCTCTTCTTCCTCCTCCTCCTCAGTGGAGACCCATGCCAAGGAAACAGCCCGCTTGCCTCGAGGGTGCCCCTGGGTGTCTTGCGTCTCGATGCTTCTGCCGTGGAAGAAAAGCGCCGTTCCCGCACCAAGAGAATCAGTGGACGTCCTGGGGTCTCAGGGTTGGGTGCCTTGTGTCGAAGAAGAACAAGCCACGTAAACATAAACGTTTGGCGCTCCGCGCGGGTTTCTTGGATCCGCGCCTGGGCCCCCCCCAGCGCCTCCAGCGCCGCCCCTGGCGCGCGGGGGCCCAGGCGCGGAACCAAGAGATCCGCGCGGAGCGCCAGCAGTTTATGTTTCGGGTTTCTCGTGGACGGGCCCCCACCGCAAGGGAGAGCCGAGCCGATCGAGCGAGCGCCGAGGGTACGACGGGGCGCCGACGACACGGCCCCAGCGCGGGCGCTCCAGGCTGGACGCCGCCAGCGGCCCATCACTGGCGGGGTGGAGCGATCTGGCGAGCGAGAGGCCGGCGATCGTTCGAGGCTGAACGCTCCATGCGGTGTCGGAAATCTCGTGGCGCCAACATCGCAGAGCGGATTCTCCTTCGGAAGCGACAGGATGGGCCTGGAGTGTCCTGGAGAGTTTCGCTCCCGATGTCGAGGTGAATCTCGTGGGGTTGTTTTTTTTGGGGCAAGGGATGCAGACCAAAACAAAAATCCGTGCGAAAGTCACTTCGTTTTTCACTGGCCATTCCGGGGTTTCGCATTCACAGAAATCCGCGCCAAAGTCCATTGCAACACGTCTGCAAGGTCGGTGCAGTGAGAAGTCACCGCCGAAGTCGCGATGCAGGACACGAACTTGGCGGATCGAAGGGTTCGACCAGCTCAATAGAGTTGCATTTGCAGGCGTCAGAAGTTGAGTCCGTGGGTGCCCACGGAGATGGCGCTACAGGTGCGCAGTGTCAGACTCGCCTGGTGTATCCCGAGACGCCCTACGAGGCCCTCGTGGCGCCCAGGACTACCCGTGTCGTCGATGGCGAAGATGCGTATAGTAAGTCACCTAATGAATCCGATTCAAGCGAAGTATTCGAGGTATATACAAATGAGCGGGGAGCGCAGCCGAGCGCAGATGGGGCCGCCACACGTTGCGATGACCGCGGGTGGGGGTTCCGCATTTTACGATTGCAGTTGAAAAGAAGATAGGGGGGGGGTCAACGAATGGGTTCCCACAATGTCCGATTATACGAAATGTTGAGAAGCCCCATGCGCCCATGCAAAACGAAGGTTGTATTGAATTTGGAGATATCAGTTTCGAGTGGCTGAACAACCATTTTTAGTAAACGCTATTTGCGAAGTCATTGAACGCCATTGTGTACCTGAAGCTTGTATGGTAACAGTTTGAAGGCCGCTGTTTCTTTTGGACCGTGACGTCACGATCTCGAGAGCCGTGCATCTGGTTTCAGAATGCGGAGGATGCCCAAAACGAAATGTAAATAAAAAAACGCTGGCGACAATAACCGCCTCTGATCTCTATATTCCCTCGGACAGATGCGTATGAGAATATGTATACCTCTGCCCGTTCCCTTTCCTCTTTCCTCCTCCTGCCCCCTCCTCTCTCTTCGATCTGTCCCACGGTCGATCGCAGGTGGCGGAACGATTTGTCGTTCGTTCACGTCCGCTCTTATTCGGTCGATCGCTACTCCGTCCGCTCGACTGCCTTCCAGCCGCTCGCTCATTCGACCTCCCCAGGCATCCGAGATCATGAGTTTCTCAATGCGGGTTCCCTAGAAGTCTGCACCTCTTCCCCGTGGCTGGCTCTCCATCTCGAGTCGCGTTTTCTTGACGGCCCTGGGGCCTGGCGAGGGCCCCCCGAGGCGGAAAGTTGTGAACCAAATCCGTCTTGAGTTTCTCGATCGACCACCACCCACCAAACCACCCCAACCCAACCCGAAGTCCCCGATTTGCCCTCCATTCCCAGTGTGGGGGGGCTCGGGGAACATTGAAACCACATATGAAGACCGCACCCCCCCTAACCCGAAATTCGGGTGTTCGGGTTGGGTTGGGGTGGCTCCTGCTGGTGGAGGGACGACCATGTGGATATTGGCGAGGGGAGGAGGAGGAGGAGGAGGAGGAGGAGGAGGAGGAGGAGGAGGAGGAGGAGGAGGAGGATGCGGAGGAGGAGCAGCAGCAGCAGCGGGAGGATCAGGAGGAGGCGGAGGCGGAGGAGGACAGTGGAAAGGAGAGGAGTCGTCGACGGTTTCTTACCCGCTCCAGTTCCACATGTGAGACTTGTGGGGGTAACTCCGATGCGTAAGGAGGAGGATTTGGGGGGACCAGGGGGAGGGGGGCGTAAAGGATGAGGCGGGGAGGAGGAGGCCGGGCGCATGGCGGAGGAGGAGGAGGAGCAGGAGGAGGAGGAGGAGGCGGCGGATATGGAGGACAAGAAGATAAGGAGAAAAATGATGGAACATGACATAATGACAATGATGATAAAAAAGGAGGAGGCCGATGATAAGGAGGACCACTATATTAATTGATGGAGGAAGACGAGAGGATGAAACGAGGAGGATGCCATTTTTTTGTGTTGGCCACACCATGCCATTCAAGAGCCCAACCACCTTTACCCAGAACTCATCCCGAAGCCGCTTGACGAAGGGAAATACCGCGAGGAAGGGACACCAAGATAAGGGTTCCGTTGCCGTCAAAGAGCATGATGGCGAGTCTCTTGCCCGCTTCGTTAAACCCCCGATATGCTGATCGAGACCTGCGCAGCCCGCCACGAGTGCATGACTAGGAAGTGTGATGCAAGCCTCGACTGCATCAGAGCCTACCAGCTACACGCGGACACGCATCGCGAGCCGCAGCCCAGCCCGCTTGATGTGGATAGGCCGCACGACGTAGTAGAACTTGGGCAGGGGCCACTCCATAGCATCCTTTCGAATGCCACCACAGAAAGTAATCAACATGCCACGCGTGAGCACCGTAGCCACAAGGCGAAGCCCTCGGGCAAGCCAAACATGTAGGAGACCTCCACGATAGGCAACATCCAGGAGACGGCCATCAGGAGCAACACGAGGCAGGAATCCTAGCGTTCATCACCACGAAGCTGGGGCGGTACTCAATTGGATACAGGCGCACAAACATACACACCTATGGTTTAGTAACGGGAACATGGTGGTGGAACCTTTGGCTTCATCGACAGCCGACTTGGCCCGAAACGGTGACGAAAGGGGGGGAGGGGAAGGATGCGGAGGATGATGTAGAGTAGGAGTTGGAGGAGGAAGAGCTTGGAGAGTGGGAATAGCAGCAAGAGGAAGCAGATGAGTTTGAATAGGAGGAGGAGGAGGAAGAGGAGGAGAACGAGGAGGAGGAGGAGGAGGGGAAGTGCGATGAGGAGAAGGGGCAGCATGGACGTGAGGAGGGCATATCACATGATGGCGATGATGGTGATGATGCTGTCGATGATGATGGTGATGATGTAGATGACGATGGTGATGGTAGTGACCGTGAGGATGCCATTGGTGATGACAATGAAACTGCTGATGCTGATGGTCATTCCTGTGGACTATGTTGCTGCTGACGATGGTGCTGCTGATGGTGATGCTGCTGATGCTGATGGTGATTGTAAGGCCGTAGACACGCCGACCGCGATGTAGGTAACTGCGATGTAGGTTTCGGTATTGTAGGTGGGGGTGTTTCGGGGCCAGCCCAATGTTTGGAAAAGGCTAATGTGTGTAATCCTGCAGCTTGTTCTGCGCGAGTTCGGCGTTGCAAAAACCAGATTGCCAACTTCGCCGTTAACCAACATCGCCGTCCGCGCGGCCTTGATAAGGGCGATGCTGATGCTGCTGCTGCTGCTGCTGCTGCTGATGATGGTCACTTTTTTGGACGATTGCGCCATGTTGCACCTCAGGTCTCAAAGCTTGGGGAAATCTGAGGCAATCCTCCTTTTTGAAAAGGAATCGCTATCCATCCTTATGGCTGCTGGAGATTTCAGGGTCGAACTTACGCGGAGCCAAGGCGAGATCTTCATTAAGAAAAGGAGCTGCCCTCCATTCGTTTGACTGTTGGGAACTGTAAAGACGAATGCGCGCTGCGCTAAGGCGAGAACCCCAACTGGAAAACAACCCGCCCTCGATCCTTATGACTGCTGGTTCATCTAAAGACAAACGTGCGCGGCGCTGAAGCGAGAGCCACATTTTGAAAAGCACCCGCCCTCCATCCGTTCAGCTGTTGAGAGCTGCGAAATCCCTGAGTCATGGATGGTGAGGAAGTCTTGGGCGAAACGCCCAGACCACCCTTCCGACACGTCTGCTGGTGCGACGTGGAGGGCTTGTTCGGGCGGGGGCTGGGACGATACCACATCAGTTCCAGAGCGTTCTGATCTGAGATGGCCGCGGTGCCTGCTGCATCCTCCAGAAAAGCCGGGTCTCAGAGATCCCCGGTTTACCTTGTCCGATCTCATCCCTGTCCTGGCTTCGTTCTGGCTGGATCTGGGGCAGAATGGGTGGAGAGCCGCGCCCCGCCGTCAGGCTCAGGAGCACCACGGCCAGAGGCCTCTGAACGCCGCCCTGCAGGCGTGCCTCCTTGCCGTGGGCAGCTGGGTGATGTACACCATGCAGGACGGTCGTCGCCGTCGTCCGCATCTTCGCTGGCGCCGTCGCCGACGTCATCGTCGTCGCCGTCGCCGTCGCCGTCGTCGTCGTCATCGCCGTCGCCGTCGTCGTCGTCGTCGTCATCGTCGTCGTCGTCGTTTCCCCCATCCCACCTAGGGGGGGCGCGGAGTCCTGGGACCCATCCCATCGTGCGGTCAGTGGAGTATTGTTGCCAGTGGAAAGGCAAGACGAATGTAAGTGTGTGTGTGTGTCTATCGGGGCATCCTTGGGGCGATCTTCACGCCTTGATCCTGGCTGCGTCCGTAATCCTCACGAGAACGAGGCGCGGGCACAATGCTGGCCAGCATCCCCAGCCGCCACGCCCTGCACTCCCCTCACCCATCGCATTTGTATCTTTTACGATCCCTAGCGGGGTGTCTCTCCAGCGTTAGGTCGGGCCTGTCCCTCTACAGGAGGAATATTCCAAAATAGTCAATAATAGTCTGGGGACAAAATAGTCAATAGTCAGGGAGACACGCCCGACCTAAACCAAGCACGAGCCTTCCAGCAGAGTTCGATGATAAAACAAGGGTGCGACGTCGCCGTCGTCGCCGCGGCCGTTGCCGTGGCCGCCGTGGTCGTCACCATCGCCGCCCTCGCTGCCGCCGCCGTCGTCGTCGTCGCCGCCGCCGCCGTCGTCGCCTCCGCCGCCCTCGCCGTCGTCGTCGGCGTCTTCGCCGGCGCCGGCGCCGGCGCCGTCGCCGTCGCCGTCGCCATCGTCGTCGTCGTCGTCGTCGTTGTCGTCGTCGTCGTCGTCGTCGTCGTCGTCGTCGTCATCGTCGTCGTCGTCGTCGTCGTCGTCGTTGTCGTCGCCACCGCGCCGACTGCGCAGGCCTGGCAGAAATGAATCTGCTCGCTCGCAAGGCCCACTGGAGGAACACTGGCGCGTGGAGGGTTTTTCCGAAGGGCTTATGCGACCCCTCCTCCTCCTCCTCCTACTTCTCCTCCTCCTCCTCCTCCTCCTCCTCCTTCTCACTCCTCCTCCTCCTCCCTCCTCCTCCCCCTCCTCCACCTTCTTCTCCTCCTCCTCCTCCTCTTCCTCCTCCTCTCCCTCCTCCTCCTCCTCCTCCTCCTCCCCCTCCTCCTCTCCCCTCCTCCTCCTCCTCCTCCTCCTCCTCCTCCTCCTCCTCCTCCTCCCTATCTTGTCGCCTACGGCCCCAGGGGAAACCGTGCACCGGAGCGTCTGTAGTGCGGGAGCTGTGGAGCAGTCGGCGACAACCTTAACCCTGCAATCGCAGTCGGTTTCTCGCCCCGAGCCCCTCGGGAAAATCAGGCCGCTCAGAAATGAGGGGAGACTCGGGGATAACCACCCGGGGGGGACTTTTCGGACGTACTCCCATCGAGGACGGACATCCACCGTCGTATATCACCGTATATCTCCGAAGTCGGCCCCAATTCTGGTTTAGTCAAAAATCCCCAAAAAGTCGGGGATTGGGGTCGCGTGGGTTAACTTACTTGGGGAGCGGCCATGCTGCTCACCACTTTGGGCGTCTGGGAGACCCGTTTCATTGGCCCTGCGCCCGCTGGCCCCTGCTTGGCCAGCCAGCAGCGGCTGCAGGACGTGGACATCGACCGGCTTCTCCAGTTCATGGATTGTCCCGTCCTGCCCGAAGGCATGGAGGAGCCGGCCAAGCGGGATGCGTTCTACAGGGAGTACCGGGCTCGCTGCGGCGGCAACCGCAACCCGCAGATGTTCTCCGCGGCGAACTGGGCCACGCGCGTGTGCTTCGACAAGGGCGGGGACGAGAGCTCGCAGGACGGAAGGGAGTCGCTCGCGGGGCTGCAGACCTGGGTCAAGTGGCTCTGCTTCCTCGGCGCTTCCGCCAAGGACGGGCCACTGCAAGCGCCCTCTGCCGTCTGTCCCCCATCGCGCAGCGGTGGCCAGGGGTCTTGCGGATAATGTTCGTCATCTTTTCTTTCGCTTCCTCCCCCAAGGAAGAAGAATAATAATAATAACCAGAGGAATCATTTTAATAATAAGAAAATGAATGAGAGCAATTGCAAGAGGAGGAATAATGATAATTAAAAGAAGAGAGGGGGGGTGTCTCGTCAGTAGTCGATGGGCGTCGTTGATCGGCAGGTGGCGCTTGCAGGCTGCTGTCAGGAGCTGGAAGAGCCCGTGACCGTAACACGGGGCCTGTGTGGTCTGCCCGATGTCCTGGTGGACCAGCTCAGGAGCAAAAGGGCGGGGGACATCCTGTTCTGGGCGGCCCCCTCTAGCACGACGGACGACGCTGCAATCTCGGAGAGCTACTGCAACCAGCAGCTGCCGACGGAGCGCAACGTGCTCTTCACGATCTCCGGCGTCAGGCAGGCGTTCCCCATGTTCGAGCTGAGCCACTATCCGAAGGAGCGGGAGTGGCTGCTGCCTCCGTTCTGCAAGCTGGAGGTGGAGCGCGTGGTCGATGCGTCTCCGCTGCAGGTACACTGCAGGCTATGGGAGCCCAATAAGTGCACGCCCCACCGCCCTAAGGAAAGGAGTGGGCTGGGGGAGATGGAATAATGGTGGCGAGGGGGGAGAGGGGAACGGAGGATGGGAAGGGGTTGGAGGGAGGAGGGAATGGAGGGGGGAGGGGAGAGGTTGGAGGGGTGGAGAAGAGAGGTGAGGAGAAAGTCTGGGGTAAGTTAGGGAGGGGGGATTCTTGTTCCTCGGACTCCTTCTCCTCCCCTTTCGTCTCGTCGTCGCCGACCTCCTCGTCCTCGTCCGTCCTCCTCCCTATCCTTTTCCTCTTCTTCCCCTCCTCCCACTCCTCATTTTCCCCCATCTCACTCCTCACGCCTTCATCCCTATGGTACTCCTCGTCCTCCTCCTCCTCCTCCACCTCCTCTTCGACCTCCTCCTTCTCCTCCTCATCCGCCTCCTCATCCCCTTCCTCCTCATTCTTCTCCCCCCCTGGTGGAGGGGAGAAGTGGCGCGCAGCTCTCTGAACTCCCAAGGTTTGCGGGCTGCGTGCTCGGGGCCGACCTGCGAGAGAGGGTCCTGCGCGACTTCCGGGAGGGCTCCGACAGCTTGAGTAGCGTGCAAGAGGAGATGCGCAACGAGCTCGGCGCGATGCAACAGGAGCTGGCCGAGGCGAAGAAAGTGGCGCAGGAGCCCTTATCGGCCGCGTGCCATCCGTGAGCACGTGCATGTGTGTATGCATTGATATGTAGATGCGCGTTCGCTAAACCGCGAGTGCTGTAAAGGGGTCAGTCTTGCATTTCGGAGAGCTTGCTCCTGAACGACAGAATGGGGAGCGTGCGCCGTGCCGGGCCGTGCTCGCGTGCTCAGCCGCGCCTGGATTCTGGCCTGCGAGCCATGTGCCGTGCCGTGCCCGCGTGCCGTGCCGTGCCTGGGGTCTAGCATGCGGCGAGCGTGCTGTGCTGTGCTGTGCTGTGCCCGCGTGTCGTGCCGTGCCGGGGAGCATCGCCGCGGAGGAGCACTCGGGCCAGGGCGGTTTGTTCGGCGGGGCGCGCTTCAATCTGAGCCGAAGCGGCGGGCGCGGGGCCCTGGCGGCCCCATTGCGACGCGTGGTCGCTCCGTTTGCCGAGGCGGACTTGCTGCCGGCGCCAGCGGCCGAGCGGCGCGGGCATCTCTGCGGCTGGGGGCGCAGCGCGGGCACGCATGCGCTCCCCTGCCGAGGGAGCAGTCAGTGGTCGCCGGGGGGTCGCTGGGTTTCGGAGCTGCGAGAGGCCCGCGTGACACCTCTCGGGTCGCCGACGCCTGCGCAGTGCGGCCGCGGAGCGCCGGGCCGCTCGGCGCCGGCGTCAGACGGGGCAGCCGGGCGCGCGAGGCGTCGAAGGCGCCACGGGGGCGCGGGCCCCCCCTGCCGATCTCCGCAGGCTGAAGAGCACCGCGGTCGCTGCCGGCCGACGCAGAGGAAGTTGCCGCCTTTGACATCCTTGCCGCGAGCTGCTGGCCGACCGCGGTCGCTTGCGCCCAGGGCAAGCGCTCGGCAGAGCACTGGGCAACGACCGAAAGCTCCACGGAGGACGCGTGAAGCTCGTCGCGCGGGTTGAGCGGCCATCGCGCGGCGAGGCGCTCCACCTCGAGTAGCTGGCGCACCGCGTCCAGGCCCTGCACGTACTGCGGACCTTCGTGCTTGAGCACGGCGAGCAATTAGTGCCGCCCGAGAGTCCGCCAGCGTCAGGGCCCGCGTCATCTCCGCCCTCTGTGTGCTTGGTCGCACTGTCTTGGGGCTCGCCGAACAAATTCAGGATGTAGCCGCGCTTGACGAAGTCCTTCCGTTGACAGACGCCGCGCGCGGCCTCGCAGCGCCAAGCGTCTTCGTCGCCTGCGGTGAGGGAGGTGCCGCCTGCCCAGGCTGGGAACACTGTTCAAAGTCTGCGCAGTTCTGTGCGAGCAGCCGTTTCTCCTGCGGGGTGATTGCACGAGGCCCGCGTGTTTCCATGACGTCACTGGTGCTCTTCCTGTGCTTCGTCCGTGGATCCGTGGTCTGCAACGACGTGCGTGGCGAAGTCCCAGCCTGAAAGGAACTCTGCGTCGCGCAGCTGGCATGCGACGGGGGCTCGCCAGAGAGCTCCCGCAGTTCACCCCCTGCGATCTTGTCGCCGTTCCGCATGCGCCGGTATGCCTCCAGACGCGGCGGTCCCTTCCCTGTGCCCCGAGGCCACGGCAGCGGTGTGCAGAGCGGACTCTTCGACGCAGCGTCTGGTTTTGGCGCAGCGTGCCTTCGCGTTCTTCTGTTGGTCCTCGGGCCGCGCGGCATCGTGCGCGAGTCTTGCTCGATGTGAGCTGTCGTAAACGTTGTCGGCGGCGTCGTCGTCGTTGTTGGTGTCGCTGCCGTCGTCGGCGTCGGTGTCGTTTCCAAGCGCCATTTGGTACCTACCATCAGTGTCTGAAGAGGTATTGCATCCAAGTTGCGGGTGGGAGGGTGGGGCGTTTGCGCGAGCAGTGGAGATGACGACCTAAACTTCGGCAGAGTGGGTCTCACCACATTACACTGCGCCACGTTTATTGCACCACATAGAGTTCATCCTCACATTGCCCCACAAAGATCGCAAGCGTTACGCGGTACACCATGGATTGCAGAATATGTATCGCGCATCCCATGTTGCTTCGCGTATACTGCACCACCTTGATTGCTCGACCTAGATTGCCTAACGTATACTGCTTGAAACACTGTTTGGGGTCACACTGACCAGCATACATACACATTGTTCAGGTGTAATTCTTTGTAAGTTCCTTGATTTTTGGGGCGCCACGATCATTTCATCTTTAATTTTTATGTCCTGAACCTCTTCTTGGCCACTAGGGGACCAGGAACAATTAGACACGAACGCACTTAAAAATGAACACGATTTGAAATGACCGACTTGTATTTATTCCCCATATCCTAAGATGGGGTTCTTGTTATTCCCCATATCCTAAGATGGGGTTCTTGTTATTACTTGGACGCCTCCTACTCCTCCTTCCTCCTCCTCTTTTCTCCTCCCCTCCTGTCGGACATACTCAGACTTGCTCATACACAGACTTACTCATACTCAGACTTACTCATACTCAGACCTACTCATACTCAGACTTACTCACACTCAGACATACTCATATACAGACTTACTCATACACAGACTTACTCATACACAGTATTAGTCATACCCAGACGTACACATACACAGACTTACTCATACACAGACTTACTCATACTCAGCACCCCTAAGGGGAGCCGCCAGGGGTGGTTGCACGGGCTCGTTCGCGGCCATTTTGTGGGGATGTCTCAGGCGGTTTGCCTGTTTCTGTGCCCAACATCCTTCGCTTTCGGAGCAGATTTGGAGGATGTCTCGAGCGAGGCGCTCATTTCAGCACCCCTAAGGGGAGCCGCCAGGGGTGGTTGCACGGGCTCGTTCGCGGCCATTTTGTGGGGATGTCTCAGGCGGTTTGCCTGTTTCTGTGCCCAACATCCTTCGCTTTCGGAGCAGATTTGGAGGATGTCTCGAGCGAGGCGCTCATTTCAGCACCCCTAAGGGGAGCCGCCAGGGGTGGTTGCACGGGCTCGTTCGCGGCCATTTTGTGGGGATGTCTCAGGCGGTTTGCCTGTTTCTGTGCCCAACATCCTTCGCTTTCGGAGCAGATTTGGAGGATGTCTCGAGCGAGACGCTCATTTTCACCCCCCAGGTGGGCCAGATTTTGAGGATGTCTCGATCGGTTTGCTAGTTTTGGTGGCCAGGCTCGTGGGCGCAGATTCTTCTCAGGATGCCACAGGAGGCTCCAACAGGCTCCAGGAGGCCCCAGGAGACCACATGAGGTCCCAGGAGGCATCAGGAGGCCACAGAAAGACTCAAGAGGCCACAGGATGTCCCAAGAGGCTCCAGGAGGCCCCAGGAAGCTCCAGAAGGCCTCAGGAAACCACAGGAGGCCCCAGGAGGCAACAGGAAGCGCCAGGAGGCCTCGGAAGGCAACAGGAGGCCCCGAGAGGCCCCAGGAGCAGGAGGCCTCAGAAGGCAACAGGAGTGGCTCCAATCCCATGTGTTTTACGTATGCTCCTATCGATTGGGCCTCACCTGGAGCACGATTCTTTGATGTTCTACGTATGTTTCTATAGATGGTCCTTCTCCTGTGTACACAATCCTAAATGTTTTACTCATGTTCCTATGTATTGGGCCTCTCCTGGGGCACGAGTCCTTGGTGTTTTACGCGTGTTCCTATAGATTGCCCTTCTCCTGTGGCTCTAATCCGCAATGTTTTATGTACGTCTGTTGCTATAGATTGCGCCTCTCCTGGGGCACGAAACCTTCCTAGGAGGTCCCAGGAGGTCCCAAGAGGCTCCTGGAGACCCCAGGAAGCCCCAGTAGGTTTCAGGAGGCCCCAGGAGGCCCCAGGCTCATGCACAGAGACGCGCTCGTACTACTGAGGCTCATTCACACTCCAATTCATTCGCAGTTAGATTGATGTCCAGACCGTCACAACTGAAGCCCGTTAATATTCGAAAGCTCTTGCGCCTAGACATTCACGGCGGACAGGTCCATGCGAGTAGATGCACATATGGGGAGCTCCACGCAGTGAATAATTACTTGGACGCCTCCTACTCCTCCTCCTTCCTCCTCCTCTTTTCTCCTCCCCTCCTGTCGGGCTTACTCATACTCAGACTTGCTCATACACAGACCTACTCATACTCAGACTTACTCATACTCAGACCTACTCATACTCAGACTTACTCACACTCAGACATACTCATACACAGACCTACTCATACACAGACTTACTCACACCCAGCCGTACTCATACACGGACTCACTCATACCCAGACTTACTCATACACAGTATTAGTCATACCCAGACTTACTCATACCCAGACGTACACATACACAGACTTTCTCATACACAGACCTACCCATACCCAGACTTACTCATACACAGACTTATACACAGACCTACTCATACACAGACTCACTCATACCCAGACTTACTCATACACAGTATTAGTCATACTCAGACTTACTCATACCCAGACGTACACATACACAGACTTTCTCATACACAGACCTACTCATACCCAGACTTACTCATACACCGACTTACTCATACACAGACTTACTCATACTCAGCACCCCTAAGGGGAGCCGCCAGGGGTGGTTGCACGGGCTCGTTCGCGGCCATTTTGTAGGGATGTCTCAGGCGGTTTGCCTGTTTCTGTGCCCAACATCCTTCGCTTTCGGAGCAGATTTGGAGGATGTCTCGAGCGAGGCGCTTATTTCAGCACCCCTAAGGGGAGCCGCCAGGGGTGGTTGCACGGGCTCGTTCGCGGCCATTTTGTGCGGATGTCTCAGGCGGTTTGCCTGTTTCTGTCCCAACATCCTTCGCTTTCGGAGCAGATTTGGAGGATGTCTCGAGCGAGGCGCTCATTTCAGCACCCCTAAGGGGAGCCGCCAGGGGTGGTTGCACGGCTCGTTCGCGGCCATTTTGTGGGGATGTCTCAGGCGGTTTGCCTGTTTCTGTGCCCAACATCCTTCGCTTTCGGAGCAGATTTGGAGGATGTCTCGAGCGAGGCGCTCAATTCAGCACCCCTAAGGGGAGCCGCCAGGGGTGGTTGCACGGGCTCGTTCGCGGCCATTTTGTGGGGATGTCTCAGGCGGTTTGCCTGTTTCTGTGCCCAA